GACAGAGTGAGACTGTCTCAAAAAAAAAAAAAAAAAGAAAAGAAAAGGAAAAAGAAAAATGTATTTAAACACATAGAACTTAGCTAATAATGTCACATTGCATGGTTCTTCAATGATAGAATCAAAATGGTAATAAATATGTACTTCTTAAATTGCTAACACTGTTAAGAAGTATTTTTATCTCAAATTATTTAAACTTTGAAAAATCAACTTACTTTAATCTCCTAAGAGAGTTAGTAAGAGGAGTTCCCTGGAATAATTCAATTGACAACATTTTTTGTAGGCACGTAATAATTGTACGTATTTGTGGAGTACATGAGATATTTTGATATAAGCATATGATATGTAATGATCAAATCAGCATAATTGGGATATTCATCATCTCAAATACTTATCCTTTTTTGTTTGTATGTCGAGAACATTTCACATCTATTTCTCTAGTTACTTTGAAACATACAATAAATTATTGTTAGCTACAGTTGCCCTATTGTGCTACAGAATATTAGATCTTATTCCTACTAACTATCTATATTTTTGTAACTAGGAATAATTAAATTTTTGTTAATGTTTTAAATGTGAAGGATGAGATAAATGAATTGAAGCAAATAAATATGTACATGAAAAGATGTTTTTCACATTAAGTCATGTTTAATATTTTCTAAACAATATAACATTGAAAATTAATGACTTTAAGAAGTAAGGAAAAGTATAACCATAGAGATTGCACTTTTGAACGAAGTTAAATAAATGTAATAACTGCTAAACAATGTGAGTTTGTTCAGAGTGACTGAGATTCCCAACTAATTTTTACTTGGGAATCTGAACATTATAATACTATTTTAAAAACTTGATTCTGTGAATTACAAAACTAGTATTTATAGGTAATTTTAACAATTCTAGATTTCCAGGTTTATCTAAAAGAATATTTAAAAATAAGCTCTTCAATAATGCCAATACAAATATCTTATCATTTGGAATTCATATTGTTGTTAAAGTTATGAAAAGCTTACCGTTTTCTGCACTTTGCTTACTGCTGTGATCTCTTGGGCAGTGTGCTTTAAATAACAGGTTGTTCAGTTTTTGAAATATTGGTAGTGATAACCATCTTTATTGAGGACAGATAGTGTACTTAGTACAGCACAGAACATGCTGCACACTCCCTGACAAAAAGAAATCAGAAAGTTCAAATAACTGATAATTTGGTTTAGCTAAATGAATTAAAGCAAATGAACTCTAGTCAGCAAGGGCAGTGGAGTATATTTAGGAACAAAAATATTAACATATTGGTGGTTGAAACTGAAGTTCATGTAACTAATGATGATGATTGTTATGGATTAAATAGTCCCCCCCACCCCCCAATTTATATGTTGTCATACCCCTGCAAACCTCAGGATGTGACCTTATTTGGAAACAGGGTCATGGTAGCTGTAATTAGTTAAGATGAGGCCATGGCCAGGCACAGTGGGTGGCTCACGCCTTTAATCGCAGTACTTTGGGAGGCTGAGGCAGATGGACCACCTGAGATCAGGAGTTCAAGAACAGCCTGACCAACATGGTGAATCCCTGTCTCTACTAAAAATACAAAAAGTAGCCAGGCATGGTAGTGCATGCCTATAATCCCAGCTACTCTGGAGGCTGAGGCAGGAGAATCACTTGAACTTGGGCTGGGGAGCAGAGGTTGCAGTGAGCCAAGATTGCGTCATTGCACTCCAGCCTGGGCAACAAGAGTGAAATACCATCTAAAAAAAAAAAAAGAAAGAAAAGAAAAGATGAGACCATCCTGGAGTATGGTGGGTCCCTAATCCAGTATGACTGATGTCCATATAAAAAGGGGAAATTTAAACACAGGCATGATTACAGAGAGAGTGTCATGTGAACTTGAAGATGACTGTCCATAAACTAAGGAGAGAGGCCTGGCAGAAACAGAGCTTTCCCTCCCAGCCCTCAGAAGAAACCAACCCTCCCAACACTTTTTCAGATTAATAGCCTCTAGAACTTTGAGGCAATACATTTTCCTTGTTTCACTCACTCATTTTATAGTAGTTGGTTATGAGAGCTGTAGGAAACTAATGTGATGGTTTTACAAGATTACCAATTTACTTTGTATAGAGTATAACAGAAAAAGATATAGGGTTTATCCTGACAAAAGGCGAACATTATTAATAAATTTCTAGAGTAAATGTGAGATAGTAGATATCCCAGTAGATCTAATGCTGCGGAAACCATTTTTACTGTGTATAGGTCTAGACTGTGCCACCTTTGAAACTGGAAAACAAGAAACAAGGAAATCCTACAAAACAATCTATGGAGAATGTTCTAAAGATTAAATGGTTAGAAAAACCAGCCAAAAGAAAAGTTGGGGACTTCGAATTATAGAAAATCCTCATTAATTTTAACTTCAGGAATTTGGAACTGATAATTAAGTGAATTTTACTGTACACATATTAGTTATGTTATTAGAAAAATATGTAAATCTTCCAGTGTCTTAAGGTATCACTTTACTCTTATGAAAAATGAATATGCTGAATTCCAGTTGGCACTGGGCTAATGGGGGCTGCTAAAATCCTAGTTTCTCAACACATCCTTTCCTAAAACCTTTGAATTCAATTTGAAGCACAAATAAACCATTCATGAAATTAGTCTTTTAGCATTACTAGGAGATCAAGGATACCATAAACCTCAAATTGTTTGTAGGGAGAAAGACAGAAAATTTCTGTTGTAGCTACGGGCATGGATAATGGGGAAGGGGTGTCTTTAGTTTCTCACTGGAAAAGAGAAGGGAGCAGGAAACTAGATGAAGCACTACAAAAAACTCTTTCAGAAAGAGAAAGTCTAAAGTGTTAAATTGTCTAAAGAGGTCAGGGATGGAAGTTAGTAATTCATAGCACTATGGAAATGTGAACTTGAGCAGGACTGAAGCGGGCAGCCTTGACAAAACATTGCTTCTGTAGGTGAGAGATAAATGGAGCAGTGGAAATGCCCCTCAGCTGGCAAGGAAGGGAAGGAAAAAAGTATTGGGAAAATTGATGGTCGTGCAGAAATGAAGGAGAACTAGAAGACATGCCAGTTACTCTTGCTCACCCCTTCCAGCACAACATCATCTATGAAATAAACTGAAGTTCACTATAGTGACAGAGGGAGCACTCTTGAACTAGGATTCCTGTGCATGAAATGCTTAGAAATAGGAAAAATCACAAATAATAAATTACAAGATGGAAGGGAGAATGTATTGAAATGAAAATTTAATGTGTCACTTAAGATAGATATGAATGAAAATGAGGTAAAGACGGATATCAGAAGGGTCAGAGATACAAAGTGGTTGAATAGAAGATAGGCAAAGAAGATCCAACATGAATGTAACTGAAATATCTAAAGAAGAAGTATTTGAACCAGATACATATTTAAAGCTGTTATCCAAGAAAACTTGATAGTAGAAATAAGAAAAAGACTTAAATCAACACATCAAAAGGGGTCCACTGTGTCCCTGGGAAAACTGACTTAGGGTGATCAACCCCAAGACATGTAGTAAAGTTATTAGACTTTAAAGACAAAGAAAATATCTTAAGGATCTCTAGGCAAAAGAACAAGTTACTTAATGGCTGAGAAAATTAGTCTTCCCACAGACTTCTCAAAGTAGCATATAAAAGCAAGGCAAAAGTGGAGCAGCATTTTCAAGAAACTCAAGGATAGGTATGAGCCAAGGATTTTATACCTTGCTCATATAAAATCAACTTGAAATTGTTGAAGTGTCAAGGCTATAAAGAAAAACAATTTGAAACATGTGAAAACTTAGGGAATACTGTGCTCATGAGACCTTCATGAGGAATCAGTTAGAGCTGTGGTCCTCTAAGTGTGGTCCCCCAACTAGCAACATCAGCAGCACTGGGGAACTTGTTAGAAATGCATATTTTCAGGCCCACCCCAGACCTACTGAGTGAGAAACTTTAGGATGGTGTCCATCATTATGTGTTTAAGCAAGCCCTACAGGTCATTCTGATGCATACCCTGTAAGAAGATGAACTTCTTCCAGCCATTCTTGAAGAAACTTTGGCGGAGAACCGATAGTGAATATTGATATTGATTATAGATATAGGTCTAAGAAATGAGTAGAGACGTAATTGGAAGAACAGTATGAAAACCATCATATGTATTGTCAAAGTAGAAAGAATACAACTAAAAATGAGAAAATAAGGGACAGAAACAGGAAAAAGTAGAATTAAGTTATTATTGTATGGGTAATAGGTAGAAGTCAGAGAGTACCACTTAAAACAGTCAAATAAGATAGTAAAAAATTAAGCAAGAAAAAGATGATTACAGGCATCATAACAAAATATAGGCAAGGAAACTGGTAGAACAATTTAATTAAATGCAATATATAATCCTGGACTGAAAAAAATTACTAAGAGGAATTTATTGGTATAACTGATTAAAGCGGAATGTGGAATGTAGATTAAATAAAGTATTGCATCAATGTTAACCTGAATTTAGTAACTCGATGTGAATATTCAAGAGAATATTCTTGTTCTCAGGAAATACATGCTGATAAAGTGGGAAAGGGCAGATTTTGATATTGAAATTTTAAATATTGGAATGACTTTATAATTTTCTTCAAGAATTTAAAAATGTGATTACTATTTACCTATACAGTATGATTTGAAGCTAAGCAGAGATGAAAATATATTTGATCATTTCTTCACATTCCTCGTGCTGTAATCCTGTGATCATTTACTATAAACCTCATGTGGATAAAGCACAAAAAGTTTTGCATTGAAGACTTAAGCTTTCGCTTTGCACTGCATATTCCAAACAGAATATCCAGCAAATAAATTTAGTTGTTTCTTTTTAAATATAGTAAAACTCAGGGTATTAGTATGAACTAACTTAAGATGAAAATAGTAAAGACAAGTACAGATATTTCCTAATATTTTAAAATTAATCTGTACCAGCTTTATCCAAATTTTTAAGCAATATTGAAGTACTTTGTTTTCCTTTTTTTAAAGATATGGATGTAATGATGCCCCTGATAAATGAGCAGAGTTTTGATGGGACATCAGATGAAGAACATGAGCAAGAGCTTCTGCCTGTTCAGAAGCATTACCAACTTGATGATCAAGAGGGCATTTCGTAAGTGTTATGGTTTATAAGTCTCCTTTCCTTTTCATTCAGTATGTATTTTGTAGTGTTCTTCTATAGGCAAAATATTCTATTAGATTATAAGACACAAATATTAACACATCATCTCCACCTTCAATGAGTTTATAGTCTATTTGGAAAAGAAATGCATTTAAATCACAGAGCAATGTATAGGAATTACTGCAATAAACTGAACTTCACTATAGTGAAAAATGCCAGGGATCTTGATGTGTAACAAATGCTAGGGATCTTGAAAGAAGGGAGCTCTGATTAAGTGGAAAAGGAATGTTAAGAGAGGTGGCTTCTGAATAATCAGGAGGTAGTAAATGTTTCTTTATTCTGAAACAAAGTTATGGAGGTAGGAAAGCATTGTAACTTTTTAAAACCTTTTTCGACATTTTGTCTTTATTAGTAAATTTGAGTAATTTCTCATTCTAATAATAGTTTAATGGTTAAAGTGATATGCAATTAATCAGAAAAGAATATAAACAAAATATATTTAGGCAAACATTTTTGTTTCATGAGTTTAAACTTTTTGCTCTTCTTTCTTATTTCAACTTATTTTTTCCTGGTGAAGAGACTTCCTTCAGATGCCTATGGAAACTACTCTTAGGTCAAGTCCCTTAGGGAATTCCTGGTATCTAAAAATTAATTAGTATTTATCTTACCTGTTGACGCATATAGTTTTACAACTTGCATAACTTGTATTTTTTTTAATTAACTTCTTAGGTTGACAATCATAAATCAAATGTGTTTAGTATCATGGTTACATAGGTAGTGTCAATACATTGCTGTTACCAGCCAAATGCTCAACATTGTTTTGAAAATCATAGCAGCAAAGTGTCTTATGAGAAAATTAGCTTTTTAAAAAAAATTTACTTCTTTACTGTGTACAAAACCACACTGTAAAGAGGATGCCTTTAAGCCTTTTTTTCTTTTTTCTTTTTTTTTTTTTTGAGACGGAGTTTCGCTCTTTTCACCCAGGCTGGAGTGCAATGGCGCGATCTCGGCTCACCGCAACCTCCGCCTCCTGGGTTCAGGCAATTCTGCCTCAGCCTCCCGCGTAGCCGGGATTACAGGCACGCACCACCATGCCCAGCTAGTTTTTTGTATTTTTAGTAGAGACGGGGTTTCACCATGTTGACCAGGATGGTCTCCATCTCCTGACCTCGTGATCCACCCACCTCGGCCTCCCAAAGTGCTGGGATTACAGGCTTGAGCCACCGTCTTTTTTCTTTTATTGACAGAGTTTCACTCTTATTGCCTAGGCTGGAGTACAGTGGTGCTATCTCGGCCCACTGCAACCTCCACCTCCCCAGTTCAAGTGATTCTCCTGCCTCGGCCTCCCAAGTAGCTGGGATTATAGGCTCCTGCCTGATGTCTGGCTAATTTTTTGTATTTTTAGTAGAGACAGGGCTTCACCATGTTGGCCAGGCTGGTCGTGAACTCCTGACCTCAGGTGATCCCCTGGCCTCCACCTCCCAAAGTGCTGGGATTACAGGTGCAAGCCATCGTGCCCAGCCAAGCCTTTTTTAATTTAATTTTTTACTATCTTGTTTGACAGATAGTTCACCTAAATATCTCATTTAATATCCACAACAACTCTTGTTATTCCACTTTTAAGTAGCAAAGATAGGGCTTGAACCAAGTATGACTTCCAGCCCAGTGATGGGATGGAACTGTTATTTGGTTCTTTGCCTAGATTAATTTTCAGTTCCCTTCTGGTAATAAAACCATGATCATGTTATAATAGCTTTTGTTGTAAAACATTTAAGTCTTACATTTAAGTCTTACATCTTTTACTTTTCAGATTTGTGCAAACTCTTATGCACCTTCTTAAAGGAAATATTGGAACTGGCCTTTTAGGACTTCCATTGGCAATAAAAAATGCAGGCATAGTGGTAAGACTTACCTTTGTAATCACCAGTTAAGATGCAGTTATCAGTCTCATTTATAGCAAGTCAGATATAACCTGGTAAGGTGACGTTTATGTGGTCATTTAGTTGCTGTCTTGATAAAATTGTGTGAACTGTGAAAATGATATCTAACAAAAAAATGCTCATTATTCTATTAATTTCTACTTCATTACTTAATATTTAACCAAAAAACCCCCCACAAACCTAAAGCAGTCTTTGATTTTTCTAGGCGTAGTTATATCTTATTAATATTTTGGATTTTCAGGAATTGAATTAAGCAGTGTAGTCATAGCAACAAATATATTTATAGAGTAGATTATTGGTAATGTAAAATTGTACAGTTTTTTTAGTCAGATAGTTTTCAGATTTAAATAATAGTTAAGAAAAATAATAATAATGGTTTTTAAAAACCAATATGTAAAAGACGCTTATTGTAATGATTATAATTACAGACAACTTTGATAGGGGAGAAGCCCATTTATGAGGTAATAAAATTACATTTAACCTTTTTTGAATGGACCAGTTTCTAAAAACAGTTTTAACTATCATCTTTCTCTGCATTTGACTATTTTGTTCCCCCTAATTTAGATGATAAAAACTTATGTTTATAAAAATTAATTTTGGCAATAATTTGATTATATCTTGAAGATTACAGGTATCACTTTAATTTTAGTAAATAAATATTTAAAATGTTTTTTTACTACTTTTGGAAATAATTATTTTCTAAGCATGGTTTTTGACACAGTGAGTACTCAACAAGCAGTCTGTAGAAGAAATAAATTGCTCACAGTCTCCATTTGATACTATACTTTTTCGTGATTTAGATAATGATGCATGGATGCATATAGTTATAATGGTGGGTCACTGCTAGTTGTAGACTTGCCATCTGATATTGAATATGATCTTGTGTTCTACCCTACTTTGTTATCTATACTCTATATTCATGGATTTGAGTAGCTAAGTTGATAAGATGGATGTGGTTGTCTTAAACATTACTCCTGTTTCTCTATCGAGTTTATTAGTTTGCCTTTATGGAGTGACTAATCATTTTGCCCAACAACTATTTATTCACTGCACATGATTTCTTTTAAATATTTAAATATTATAAAATTTTTTCCCCACAGCTTGGACCAATCAGCCTTGTGTTTATAGGAATTATTTCTGTTCATTGTATGCACATATTGGTACGTTGCAGTCACTTTCTATGTCTGAGGTAAATGTGGATTTGTTAAGCCATTTATTTTGAAGCTATCTTTTTATTTAGATCATTGAATAGTCTTATATTTCTATTGTTCGTTGTATTTCCTTTACGCTGTTATATAGATGTATCTAAGGTAATGAATATGGAAGAAGGTAGCTTTTTATATGATTTAAATCTGATTAGAATCTGTTTTTAAAGGGTAGTCTTATTAGTGAAATAGAATGGTTTCTCTTAGTATAAATGGAAAAAATCAGAAAAGATATATGGAGGCAATGGAGGCAGTGGTGTGACTTTTAGTTATAGCATAATGGTCTTCAATGTATAGGTGATTCTGTTTTGATTGTCATTTGTGCTCTCTGCTGATGTATGGGTTAGTAGATAGTCAACAAAATAATATTCTTTTTCTTTATTTTTGTATCATGAAATACATCTACTGGACAATAGGCTAACTTTTTTTAAAAAAGTAGATATTATCTAGTCTAGTAGACTAATATCAAGTCTTGACTCTTTTGTTGTTGCATACTCTTAAAACTTAGGGCAGGCCGGGTGCGGTGGCTCAAGCCTGTAATCCCAGCACTTTGGGAGGCCGAGGCGGGTGGATCATGAGGTCAACAGATCGAGACCAACCTGGTCAACATGGTGAAACCCCGTCTCTACTAAAAATTACAAAAAATTAGCTGGGCGCGGTGGCGCGTGCCTGTAATCCCAGCTACTCAGGAGGCTGAGGCAGGAGAATTGCCTGAATCCAGGGGGCGGAGGTTGCGGTGAGCCGAGATTGCACCATTGCACTCCAGCCTGGGTAACAAGAGTGAAACTCTGTGTCAAAAAAAAAAAAAAAAAAAAAAAAAAAAAACTTAGGGCAAATCATTTATGAGCTTTATATGATAACATATACTTGGAAAGTTAAGAGAGAGAGAATGGAGAAATAATACCTACCTCATGGGAAGATTAAATGAGATAGTTTATGTGCAAATGTATTATAGAGCCTTGCACAAATGTATTATTAAATAATGCTGTTCTAAGAATGGAATAATTTAGACATGAATAATGTAGTTGATGTTTTAGGTATTTGAAATATTTAAATTAATAAAGCACAAATACTAAGTTATATGAATTCTGCACTTACATAAACTTTAGCAGTAGATAAAATTAATATACTGGTAAAAAGGACAGATTTAAAACTTTGTGAGGCATGCTTTAGAAGTACACAGATCTTGATATTTTGATAACTCATCTGTCAGTGCATAGCCTTGCATTTATTAATTCCCGTTTATTTTATGTTTATTTCAAGAAGTGGTTTTATGTGCCAACTTAAACTTTTTCTTTTTTCCTTTGTATGTATGTCATTAAATTACAGGTTTAAAAAGTCAACATTAGGCTATAGTGACACTGTAAGCTTTGCTATGGAAGTGAGTCCTTGGAGTTGTCTTCAGAAGCAAGCAGCATGGGGACGGTAAATACTCTGTTATTAATATCTGATCGTTAAAATTATATTAAGTATTTTAATCTAACAAGATATATAAATAAAAATATGATAAAGTTGGGGAATAAACATATGTAACCTTTACAATTAGACAGACTTGGGTTCAAATTTCAACTTGACCGTTCTTCAGTTTTCTGACCTTTATCAAATTATTTATCATTTTGGTTTGGTTTACTCACTATGAAATGAGTTTACAGTAATACCCATCTCATAGGATCATTTTGGTAGATGAAATAAAAGGATATTTATAAAGCATGACCTGGTCAAATAATGACATAATCATGTTAATTAATTGTTTTAAATAAAAAAGCCAGAAAAATGTTTTAGTACCATTATTTCAAATAAAGTTTTAGTATTTAGTTATATGCTCATCTGAGGTCTGGATATATTTTAGCATAACCTTATTTTATTGTCTTGTTATTTAAATGTAACTTTATTACTGGTGGCTTTGGCTAATCAAAGTCAGGTGAATACAGGGCTAGAGAAATAAGGAAGCATAAACAATCAGCAAAGCTGCCTGTTGTACAAATGACATGTGAGGTGGGAATTAAATGAAGAACAGTGTTAGAGTAGTTTATGGTTAAGTATGGCCTTTCTGGAGATTTTCAGGACGTTAGATTTGGTACAAGGTGCTCAGAGCTCCTGATATGATGAGTAGGAGCATATATGCTATAAGAAAATGTTTAAAACTCTCGAAAAGAGAAATAAAATATATTGACATTTCAGTAGCTCTTATGGATACTTATTTGTGGATGTCTTTTTTCAGGAGTGTGGTTGACTTTTTTCTGGTGATAACACAACTGGGATTCTGTAGTGTTTATATTGTCTTCTTAGCTGAAAATGTGAAACAAGTGAGTATTTTTCGCCAGTTAGTGAAATCATTTTTTTCTAAAGCCCTAGATATGGCTTCCTATTTCTTCTGTGGGAGCCACGGTTGAATTTGAAAATGTGTCTCTTTCGTAAGTGATCTTCCTTTATAGATTTTCCTTTAGATTTTTTTCTTGCAAGTTGGATTTCTGCTGTAATTGTTAATTGTATTGTTTTGCCATAATACTGATAATGCTTGTTTTTTTAGATCAGAATATGACATTATTTACTGATTCTTAGCTACTTGAAACTTAGATTTCAAAAGCATATTCATAGATGCTGTGGAAGCATATTCTTTACATTGAAGTTCTGTAAAGAACTATATGAGGCTTTAGCCAGTAGCCTAAAAAAATCAAGTAAAAATAATGAGCATTCATTATTAAAATCCATTAATTATCACCATTGTGTAAAAAGATACTGTTTCCATAAATGAACAGTTTTCTGTAGTTCTTTCTTCCATAAATGAACAGCTTTCTGTAGTTCATTCTTTCTTGTATTGTGAAGGTTCGTTTTAGGAGGAAGTGGTTTGCAGTCTTGGAAGAGACTTGACAGTATATTTGGAGAAATATGGAAAGCATCGAAATAAAAACTCCATCAAAACAATACTATAAAATACTTTTCTTTATGACTGGCATCATTATTCCTAAATTATCCCTTGCTCTTCTTTAATCATTATTTTAATAATGATTATTAAAATAATTTAAAAAATAATTATTAAATATTAATTATCCACATGCACATGGTACAGTAAACACTTTACATAGTAATATATAGGATTGTCTTGTAGGTATTTTTATACAAAATGATGAAGTGAGTATGTTTTTTAAAAAACCTGTATTTGTAGATTCCTGTGTATTTGTATGTATTTGACTCTCTTTTCTAAGTATAGAGTATGTTTCATTTCACTGAGAATTGGCAAACTGTTTCTATAGAGGGCCAGATGATAAATATTTTCTGCTTTGCAGGCCATATGGTCTCTGTTGTAACCACTCAGTTCAGCCATAGGCAACAATATGTAAACAAATAGATATGACTATATTTTGGTAAAATTTTATTTGCAAAAATAGGTGTTCTGCAGACCATAGTTTTCTAACCCCTGATTTAGATTATCCCTGTATGCTGTCTTTGAGCCAGTCACTTAAAATTTTAATGTCAGAAGAAGTCATTGAGTCAAACCCTCTTTTATGAAAGAGTTCATAATTAGTAATTTGAGCTTGGATTTTTGGTCAGTGTTATTTCCAGTATACCATGTCTCAGCATCTAGAAAAGTTTTTTTTGTATCTGGGACTTTAAATGTCTGGAAGCTTAAATGTCACCTGTTCTGTGAAACCTTTCTCACCTGTTCCTTCCATGCCTTTCTTTTCTTTATCTTTTGACAGAATTTATTGGTTTTTCTCCTGGCTTCTGCATCACTTTTTAAAATAGCCTTGATTATGCTATAGTAAAGTTAATTTACAAGTTATTTTTTACTGCTACACAGCAAGCCCCGTGAAGGAAGGGACTCTCATATCCCTTGTGTTCACCATTGTAAACTAGTATCTAAGAGTGCCTGGCTTATTGGTACCCAGTATGGTTATTGGCTCTGAAGGAAAATGAACTCACTGGACTGGGAAGGATTATATCTTGTTCATGTCTTTATTTCTCAGACCTAGTACTGTATCTGGTTGATTGTGCAAGTGTCATTAAAACTTTGTGGACTGAAAGGGTTTAATCCTTTTGTTTGATTTCTGCATTGATGGTCTCTGCCACTTTCCTTGTTCCCATCTTGTGCAAACACCCTTTTCTCCCAGTTTTTTCTGTCAACTCTTCTCTTTTAGCTCCTACATGACTCTTTAAGCTTGGTTCCTCACTCTCACAGATATTTCCTTGCATCTATAAAATGAATGGTGTCCTTAGGGTTTTCAAGGTAAACGATTATATTATCAGCAAACAGAGACAGTTTGACTTTCTCTTTACCAATTTTGATGCCCTTTATTACTTTCTCTTGTTTGATTGCTCTGGCTGGGACTTCCAGCACTGTATTGAAGAGGAGTGGTGAGAATGGGCATCCTTGTCTTGTTCCAGTTCTCAGAGGGAATCTTTAAGCTTTTCCCCATTCCTTATCATGTTGGCTGTGGGTTTGTCATAGATGTCTTTTATTATGTTAAGGTATGGAGTTCCTTGACTAATAAAAGAATTCAGCAACCTTTCTGGATACAAGATTAATGTACATAAATCACTAGCTCTTCTATACACCAACAGTGGCCAAGTGGAAAATCAAATCAAGAACTCAACTGCTTTTACAAAGCCTGCAAGAAAATTATAATACTTAGTAATATTCCTAACTAAAAAGTCAAAAGACCTCTACAAGGACAACTACAAAACACTGTTGAAAGAAATCACAGACAACAAAAACCAATGAAAACACATCCCATACACAAGGTTGGGTAGAATCAATATTGTGAACATGACCATCCTGCCAAAAGCAATCTACAGATTCAGCATAATCCCCATCAAAAAACCACTGTCATTCTTCACAGAGTTAGAAAAAACAATTTTAAAATTCTTATGGAACTAAAAAAGAGCCTGCATAGCCAAAGCAAGACTAAGCAAAAAGAACAAATCTGGAGGCTTCACATTACCTGATTTCAAACTACCCTATAAGGCCATAGTCACCAAAACAGTGTGGTACTGGTGTAAAAATAGGCACACACACTAATGGAACAGAATAGAGAACCCAGAAGTGAACCCAAATACTTACAGCCAACTGATCTTCTACAGAGCAAACAAAAACACGAAATGGAGAAAGGACACACTTTTCAACGACTGATGCTGGGATAATTGGCTAGCCACATGCAGGAGAATGAAACTGGATCCTCATCTTTCACCTTATACAAAAATCAGCCCAAGATGGATTAAGGACTTAAACCTAAGATCTGAAACTATAAAACTTCTGGAAGATAACATTAGAAAATCCCTTCTAGACATTGGCTAAGGCAAGGATTTCATGATGATAACCCCCAAAGCAAATGCAATAAAAACAAACATAAATAGATGGGACCTAATTAAACTAGAGAACTTTTGAATGGCAAAAAAAGTCAGCAGAGTAAACAGACAATCCACAGAGTGGGAGAAAATCTTCACAGTCTTTACCTCTGACAAAGGGCTAATATCCAAAATCTACAATGAACTCAAATCAGGAAGGAAAAACAGCCGCATCAAAAACTGGGCTAAGGACATGAATAGACAGTTCTTAAAAGAAGATATACAAATGGCCAGCAAACGTGAAAAAATGTTCAACATCATTAATGATCAGGGAAATGCAAATGAAAACCACAACGTGATACCACCTTACTCCTCCAAGAGTGGCCATAATCAAAAAACAGTAGGCGTTGATGCAGCGATCAGGAAACACTTCTACACTGCAGGTGGGAATGTAAACTAGTACAGCCACTGTGGAAGACAGTGTAGAGATTCCTTAAATTACTAAAAGTAATACCACCATCATTCTTCACAGAGTTAGAAAAAACATTTTTAAAATTCTTATGGAACTAAAAAAGAACAACTACCATTTGATCCAGCAATCCCACTACTGGGTATCTATCCACACGTAAAGAAGTCATTATTCAAAAAAGATATTTGTGGACATCTGTTTATAGCAGCACAATTCACATTGCAAAATCATGGAACCAACCCACATGCCCATCAGTCTATGAGTAGATAAAGAAACTGTGGTGTGTGTGTGTGTGTGTGTGTGTGTATCTAAAGTTTTATGTATATGTATGTGTGTGTGTGTGTGTCTCTAAAGTTATATATGTGTGTGTGTGTGTGTGTGTGTGTACTTTTATGGTTGAGTAGTATTCCATCATATATATGTATGGAGTACATATACATATAAATATACATATATATGTATATGTATATGAAGTACTGCTCAGCCATAAAAGTGAATGAATTAACAGCTTTTGCAATGACCTGGATGAGATTAGAGACTAGGAATGGAAAACCAAACATTGTATGTTCTCACTGATATGTGGGAGCTATGAGGACACAAAGGCATAAGAATGATACAATGGACTTTGGGGACTTATGGGGAAGAGTGAGAGGGGGTGAGGGATATGGTGCAGTGTATACTGCTCAGGTGATGGGTGCACTAGGATCTCACAAATCGCCACTAATGAACTTACTTGTATAACTTAAATGCCACCTGTACCCCAGTGATTTAGGGAAAAATAAAGTAAGATAATTAAAAAAAAATTTTTAAATGGAATGGTGTCCAGAGATTAGTGTTGTAACTGCTGACAGTTTTAGCCAGGAGGGTACTTTTAGATGCTGTCTGCGTCTGAGAGTCCCAATGAATTCTGTAGTTTTTCTTTCTACCCTCATTTTATTATTTTTTCAAAATATCCTATTTTTAAATGATTTCTTTTTTTTACTAGATATTTGCAAATAAGTTCTAATACACCTATTTCTGGCAGAAAAATCTGTAATCTAAACCATCAGACACAGGTGTTCCCTCATACATATTGTGACTATAGAATACAGTGAAAGGTCTTAACGAGAGCAAGTAGCACGAGAGATGCAGAGGACATAGAAAACAGTAACAGTAATTAGAGCTAATTAGAGTCCTGTTTATAGTCTTTTGTTTATCAAAATAAAACATCAGTTCTTCCATTAGCGTTACTTGTTATAGATTATGTTGTTTGGATTTTACAAATATTTAGTTCTCCAAATTGCATATTCCTAGGACTCCTAAATCCATTAAGAGACTTTTTATTAATGAGAGTGACAAGACATATCTTACCAGTCATTTATATATAATATGAGGGAAATTATGCCTTTTTATATCTTTTCTAATACCTATCTTCTAAGAGAGTTACCAACAAGCTCTATTTGAATTTAAGAATAATGTCAATTTTATAATAAACTATGATATACATTATTTAATCTTTATAACTACTCTGTAAGTCCTTTGCTTATTTTATGAATGAGAAAGCAGTCTTACAAAACTTGAGTAATGTGCCCCAAGTCATATGGAATTAGGTTGAAACCTAGGTCTCTGTCACATCCAATATGTTAATTGTTCGTCACCCCACAGGACGTTGTCTTGTCTGATTTTAGTTGTGAGTGTTTTTATATGACATAAAAAGTAGATGAGGTGGATAAAATAAATGTTTATAAGCTTAGAATTTGTGACTTTCTCCTATGAAAAATTATCAGTTGCTTCTCAAGTTGAATGGAAAAGTTAAACTTTGCACATGTCCTAAGAAGATCAGGTAGAAAAAAGGAGTGCCTGCTACAGATAGAAAAGTAAAAGTTCTTTTGAGTCATAAAGAGTAACATGGAAAAAAAAAGGCAGTCAGGTTTGAGAAAGTCGTTGAGATGACCACTGAAGCAGCATGAGATCAGAGATTTTCATTCTCTACAGAGGTATTCTTTTATGTTTTATAGGCATTATACAATAGTAGACACACTAGTTGATTAAACCTTACCAATTGCTACGTATGTTATAGTTAGAAACCATAGGATTGTTACCCTCCCCTTAATCTACATGGAATTGAAATGTATTTTGGTAACCAAAAGAATTAAGGGTTTAGTTGCCACACAAATGTAGAACCTGCTATGTAACTGCCACATGACTATTCTTGGTCCCATTAAGACTTATGCACAATCAGAAGGAGAAAAAGAACCCTAGAGCTTCTGACGAATCTAAGTCCATGGTGTTTATAGTTGCTTCTCTCTGTTCTTACTCTAAGATATGCTAGAAAATCTCAGATAGATAAAGTAGTGGTACGTGGGCATGGAGAATGGGCAATGAATACAGTATTACATTTTAAAAATGTAGCAATCCCGAAGACCATTGATTGTAGAGTCAGAGGATAGGAGTTCAAATTTCTGCTTTCTCAGTTTTAACTCACACATTAGGCAAAACCCTCTTATTCCTGGTCTAGCATCAGTTCCCTTATTTGTAAAATGGGAATAGTAACAACATATCTCCTTGTTTCTCATAAACTTATTGTGAGGCTCAGCTGACAAAAGGTTTGTGAAAGCCTTTGTAAAATGTAAAACATTATACAAATGTAGGGTACTGTAACTTCAATTCTGCATTTGGCTTTACTGAAGAACGTAATCTGCAATTGGAAATTTAACTATTAAATTATGAAATCATTGAAAAATTAATAAGTGGTGTATTTTAGTAAATTTGAGCTCAAATGGAAACAACTGAATTTAGTAATTATATTTTATAATGTTTATTTCAGTGTTTTACATTTTGGTAAACATGTGAGATCATAGGAAGTCCTATTAGATAGCCAATCTCTGTCTCTAGAGGGCACCAAAGGACTCAAATGTTTACCTGAATCTTGCTCTAGGTATGTATCTACATTTTTATTTTATTTTATTTTTAATCCTGGGAATTTTTATGCCAAAACTTTTCTGCCAAAAGTACTAAAATACTATAAGATATTTGTGATAGAATTAATTTTAAATTCCCAAGCACCTAATAATAATTAAAACAGCCCTTTAAAATACCGGTTATATAACTGGTTTTCTCTTGCCAGCTATCTTTGTTAGAGCTTTACTTTGATCATTATCTAATCTAATTATTGGAGGTACTGCTTTCATAAGAAGTATTTGGCTCTAAATAATTCAGTTACTAGAACATTAAGTCAACAATCAAATATGTTTGTAAAAACCAAGGAATGTAAATCACCAATTTTGCTTTTATTTCAAATGATAGAAAATAAAACAAAGTTTTGATGGTCACTTACAAGGTAGTCATGAGCTGTGCATTTCTTAAATGGTGCATTGTATAACTTGAGAGTCTGTTAGTCCAGTGTTAGTTATAAATTGCCTTTATAGGGCAAAAATCTAATAGATATATTATCTGCAATCTAAGATGATATGTACATTTATAGTAATATTAAACATAGCTTATGGTAGATTATACATGTAAAATTAAAGTATAAGGAACACTTAAATTATTAATTATATCAAATTTATTTTAATCTTCTCATTTATTGGCCTCTTAATTACTACATTTAGAGAGAGAAATGTAAGAGTGGAAACCAGGTGGCTGCTTGGGCAGAGCCAAACATAGCTTATGGTAGATTATACATGTAAAATTAAAGTAGAAGGAACACTTAAATTATGAATCATATCAAATTTATTTTAATCTTCTGATTTGTTGACCTCTTAATTACTACATTTAGAGAGAGAAATGTAAGAGTGGAAACCAGGTGGCTGCTTGGGCAGAGCCCTCCTTTCTGGTATTTTGGTCAGGCTAATTCTAGAGTAACAAGCCTGGGTGTGAATCCTAGAACCACCATTTACTGGCTTGATATTATGCAAGGTTTAAAAAAAAAATATCTTGAAGCCTCAGGTTCCTCAACTATAAATTGGAACTAATGTTACCACCTACTTTAGAGAGTCATTTTAAGTATTAAGTGAGATGTTGTATATAAAGCATATAGTTCAGTACCAGACACAAAGAAAGTACTCAAAAAACACTAGCTATTATTAGTACAAGGTCTTAAGAATTTTTAGAATGTATTGTCCAGAGACTCAACAATATTGGTGTGTTCAAAGGAGGGTACATTATGTTTGGGAGTAAATAAGTTTTCACTGGTATTTAAATTACAGTATGATCTGCCTCTGCTGTAAAATTTTAAGACTGTTTCTAAAGTCCTCTATAATTTCATTTCTATTTTAGTAAGTAACATTATGTTATTAAATTGGACCAGAGATAATTTTTAATATATGGAGCCTGTAAATCATGTTTTTAAATCATATTTGTTTTGAAATCTGAAAATTGGGTTATAGGAGTGGCTGAATAAGTTTTAATATAAAGTTGATTTATTTTGTAGAAGTGGAAATATTTATTGATATTTATTGATGATAGTGATGATAATTTATAAATGCTGTATAAAAGTTTTAAAGTTAGGTGATAATTTTAAAATTTTGCTTAGACTACATTTCTAAGACATAATTAGAGCTTGTTTCCTATCTGAAAAAAAATAAGCTAGAGAATACTCAGTGGCCATCCTAGATATGTATTGTCCCAAATTTGATGATCTCAAAAATAGATACTTGAGTCTTTGGAGGTATCATGAGCATGATAGTCACAAAGCTTCAATATACATTAGTACATTTATTGTTACAATTTTCTAATTAACTTTATAATATGATAAAATTATCTTTCAAGATTATCTTCAGTTATCTTTATATTTGATACATATGTTTCTAGGAAACCGGAGTATCTTCAAAAACTGTAAATTTAAATATTTTAAAGTATATCATAGGATTGTATTTTAAAGTGTACAGATTGTAATTTTCTTTGTACATGTGTTTTATGATTATAAGTTGATGGAAGATTTCCCCCTTCTTTATTCTCCTGGTAATCCTGTATAGGTTCATGAAGGATTTCTGGAGGGTAAAGTGTTTATTTCGAATAATACCAATTCATCAAATCCATGTGAGAGAAGAAGTGTTGACCTAAGGATATATATGCTTTGCTTTCTTCCATTTATAATTCTTTTGGTCTTCGTTCGTGAACTAAAGAATCTGTTTGTACTTTCATTCCTTGCCAACGTTTCCATGGCTGTCAGTCTTGTGATAATTTACCAATATGTTGTCAGGGTAAGTATAAAATGTTTTTAACCAAGCTCTTAGCTTTTTTATATAAATAAAATTTTTGTTTACTTTGGAAGTAAAAGTAATGAAGTGTAAAGACCTCGACTTTATATGTGACACACAGTGTACAATCAGTAAATGTTGGTTTCTTTTAGGGGGATACTGTTAAGTTAGAAAAGTATATGACACAGAGATGAAACCAACAGGCTTTGTGGTCAGATCTTGAATCTTGGTAAATAGCTTTTGGTCTTTGGACTGCTTCAGAAGATAATAATACCTACCCTATTAGAGTTATAATGAGATTTAGGATTGTGTTCTTAGTACAGTGCCAAATGTGAAACCAGGTATTCATTAAATGTGTTATTTATTCCTTTAAAATTTGAACCAATCACAAGAGATGCATGTATATATATGTAAATCTACAATTTCCTTTCACTTCTGAACTTTTATTTGCTGCTACTGCTTTAATCCACTGTCACTACACTAGTCTGTAATCCCTTTATCTGAAGTATATGCAATAACCTCAACTGATTTCATTGTCTATAGTCTGGGGATTCTTAATCTAGTTTCCTTAAAATAATCTATTGGTAGGATTCAGGGATTCTTTAATTCCCTTAAAATAGTTTGCAAGATTTAGTATGTCTGTATGTATATATGTGTTTTGCTGTTGAGAGGTTATATCGCTTTCATCTTGCAAAGGCGCCAAAGACCCAAGAAAGGTTGAGAATCCCTGTTCCAGTCACCTCTGATCTAATTCATTTTTTATATCACTTCCAAGGTAATTGTTGTAAAATCTTCATTAGTGAAAATAGAGTGGAGAATGAATTTTTATTGGGCACCAGCAGCAGTGGTTGTTAACTTGACTATATGGCTCTCAGCTTAGGCCTTGAGTGTACTTATGTATTTCCTGTTGTGGCAGGAGCTAGACCTAGTGTGCAGAGCCTGGGACTTGCAGGTGGAAGCAGGTAATCAGGAGCAGTTTGTTCAGTTGGAATGTGTGGGCATGAGGGAAACAATTGCTTTTGGCAGTACCAGCTTGGCTATATTTAACATGGAATGCTTAAAGTGTTTATTGAAAGAATTATTCAATTTTATAACCGACATTTGCTGTTGTGAAGCTCAAAATTATATGCTTTTTCTTTCTTCTTAAATTATTTAGAATAAGTAAAGATGTAACCTGACTTCCTTTTTTCTTCCTTTCTTTAGAACATGCCAGATCCCCACAACCTTCCAATAGTGGCTGGTTGGAAGAAATACCCACTCTTTTTTGGTACTGCTGTATTTGCTTTTGAAGGCATAGGAGTGGTAAGAATTTAGTCCTTATTATTTTTTTAAAATCTTAATTCAACACAATGATTTATATAGTCTAGCTATATTTAAAAATGCATATTTTTCTTTTTTGTTTCAATTTTCTTTATTCCTAGAAGACAATGTACAATTTGGTGTTTTAGATTAGAATTAGCTTAATGTTAGACATACCACTCAGGCTCTCTAATTCTCTTTTTCTTTATCTATAAAATGAATAAATTAGCCAGATTATTTTTAACATTTTAGTATGAAAAATTCAAACCTATGCAAAATTTAGAGAGTAGTATAATGAACTCCTCTGTAAATGTTATCTGGCTTCAAAAATTAACTCAAGGCCAGTTTAAAAAAAATTTAAACTATTTTGCATGTTCTGCACGTGTACCCCAAAACCTAAAATGCAATAAAAAAGAAAAAAAAATTATATTCCACATACTCAGGCACATCTGAAGCATATTTTATAGATTAGATTATTTGAAGGGAATTGAAATAGTTGCAAAATCACTGTTATATAAGAAGAGTTGGATATAAATTCTCCCTATAGTTTTACGAATATAATGTTTGTTTTGAGAAACAATGTTATTATAAAGCTAATAGCAAGATAAACTCCAAAAGTTCTGAGGATTCTCAGATGTTAAATATTTTCATTCAGGTAGCTCCTGGTTTATTTAAAGCCTAACATTTGTATACTTGGAGAAAACAGAGTCTTGCTGTCTGCTTTGCTCCGTAGTTTATGTTTCATAGTCTGATGGTCTGATACAGGAACAAAACCATTGTAAACATCTATTTATATTAACCCCAGACAAAATAGATCTAAAATAAAATTTTATACCATTTTACTTGGGTTTCTGCTGTATCTGAATTTTTCTTTATATAACTCTCATAAATTCTTACAAATTTTCACAGTTGCTTTTACTGCTGTTACAAACATAACTGCAGATTTTCATGTTTGTCTTTAACTGGTGAGTGCTAGTTCACTATTGGATGTTTTCTCTGAATCTCAAATTCAACAATTTCAAAGTCTAGCACATATTTTCTCATCCAAAACTAGCTTTACTTTCTCATTTTCCTTTTTAGTTTTATGTTCAGTTGCTTAAGCTTGAAACACTGGAATGATTTCTTTTACTTTGTCCTTGGTTCCCTATTTCAATTGATAATTAATGTTGATTCTTCTTTTATATTTCTCAAATCCATTCCATAAAGGAGACTATACATAAAATACCTATAATGCTGCATGACACAGAGAAATCCTCAGGAAATGTTCATTTCTTTGTCCTTCTCCCATTCTAGCTGCACTGACACCGTTCTTGGCCACTGCCCATATTTCCTGTCTGGGTTATCTCCAGAGCATCCAAACTGTTCTCTGCCTTCTTGCTGCTATTAGCAGTTAACGTTTCCATATGTAACTGACTTATGTAAAAAGTGGAGAAATATTAGATTTATCATCTCATAGAGTTATTATGAGGATTGCTTAAGATGCTGCATGCAAAGCTTTTAGAATCATACCTGAAATATCACGAACACTCCAGTAAATACTTGCTATTATTATCATTACTGTGGTCTTTCACTATATGGCCAAATTTTATGGCTAAAATCTCAGAAGATTTGCCTTAAAAACTTGATTTTTCAATCATCCTTTTTCTATTTTCTTTAAAGGTTCTTTTTTCAATAAAATAAAAAATTATTTATTAGTTTTACTGAAATTGACAGACAGTAGATAAGGTGGGTAGATATAAAACCAGTTACAGATACATGTGTATTCATGGGTTGGTATATACTTCCTAGTTCTGTCTCCTGAGAGGGGCTACAAGCAGTGATATCCCAGTAGCAATAAACACACACTCAGATCTTTATTTGTAAATACCAGATCTTCATGTCTAAATACCATTCTACAAGAGAACCAAAGTTCTTTGGAGAAATAGCTGATTTTAGGGCTGAAGCAAGGAAATTCAAGATGAGGCTAAAGCTTATCTTGTAATGTCAGAAGGCAAGAATGTGTTCAAGAAATAAAAGAATAGAGGCATGTCAAAGGGACAAAGAAGCCAACCTGATGGAATTTATAATGGCCAAAGCTGGAATAATGTAAGTAACAAAACAACAGAATATTGGATTATAACTCAATATATAAAACAAATATACCTAAGGTCATGCTAATGTACATACATACATACATATGTGAGAATCCTAGATAATCCTCCTCCCTCCAGGCACTATAACTAATCCCCTCCTACACCCCAGAGATGGGGCTGGATTTAGGAACTTGCTTTCAATAAACAGTATGATGAGAGGGAAGAAAAGTAATTGTATAACAGAGAAAGCTGGCAAACACTACCTTAACCAACTGATGAACATTAACTTCACCAGTGATAAATCATGTTAATAGCGTGTGATGAGACAGGCACTTCACCTCTGTGTTATCCTTCTCTCAAACTATAATACCAGTCCAGTCTTGAGAGAAACCTCAGACAAACCAAAATAGAGAGGCATTATGTAAAATACCAAACCAGTACTCCTTAAAACTGGCAGGATAATGAACAACAAGCAAAGATTGAGAAACTATCACAGACAGGAGGCATGTGACAAAATGCACTGTGGGTATCCTGGATGGAACTCTGGGACAGAAAAAGGATATTAACAGAAAAACTAATAAAATCCTAAGGAAATTTGCAGTTTAGTTAATAGTGATCTACCAATGTTGGTTTTTAGTTGTCACAAATGTACTATGATAATGTGAAAAGTTAACAGTAGGAGAAACTGAGTCGGGGAATATAGGAGATCTCTGTGTTATATTTGTAACTTTTCCATAAATCTAAAATTACTCCAAAATAAAAAGGCTATTAAAAAAACTGACAGATTTGCCTGCCAAGAGCTGAGTTTAAATGTTTTTAAGAATTTAAAATAGGTAGTTATATATATATGTATGTATACATACATATATGTGTATATATATATGAATACATAATTGTTGAAGTATATTTTCATTGCTATATGTGTGTATGTGTGTGTGTGTATATATATATAGCAATGAAAATATAATTCAACAATTATATGCGTTTTAAAGGGAAAAAATTTGCATGTAGGCTATAAACAACCAATTTGTATGTATAAGAGACACTGTTATTTTTAAATACCTGTATTCCTTTTAAAAAAATTGGTATTCTTTTCTTAGGTCCTTCCACTGGAAAACCAAATGAAAGAATCAAAACGTTTCCCTCAAGCATTGAATATTGGCATGGGGATTGTTACAACTTTGTATGTAACATTAGCTACTTTAGGATATATGTGTTTCCATGATGAAATCAAGGGCAGCATAACTTTAAATCTTCCCCAAGATGTATGGTAGGTGTATCTGAATTTCTCAATACTAATTTATATATTCTATATTTACCATTGTTTGATGATAAAGGCATGATCTTAGATTCATGGTTTAGAGGTTTATAATTTTTACTGTGATTTGCTGTAATCCCAGCACTTTGGGAGGCAGAGGCAGGTGGATCACCTTATGTCAGGAGTTCAAGACTAGCCTCTACTAAAAATATTAGTCAGGTGTGGTGGCAGGTGCCTGTAATCCCAGCTACTCTGGAGACTGAGGCAGGAGAATTGCTTTAACCTGGGAGGTGGAGGTTACAGTGAGCCAAGATCATTCCATTGCACCCCAGCCTGAGTGGCAAAAGCAAAACTCCATCTCAAAAAAAAAAATTTACTGTAACTTATTTGTGCCATCTGGAACTTTTTTATAATCTTTGGAGGAGATCAAATATGAATTTAGGATTGTTTTGGGATATTTTAAAAAAAGATTTAAAGTTGAAGGTTGTTCCAAATCCATGTCAAGTATAAAAGTAGAACAGGGATTATTTTAATATGGACACATTTTAATTAAAAAATTAATACCTGTTCTTACTGGCAAAAACCCAAACACCTAGGGTTCCTAATAAAATAATAGATTACATTATTTATGGTCCTTGCTGTTTTGGTCAGCTTCATAGACTATATTTTCCAAGTCCTTTCAGAACACAGTTGGGACACATTATAAATAATAAAAGAAAATGGTACATCATCTTAATGTTCTCTTTAATATTGGAACCATATCCTGCTAAAGTAAACATCATATATATGTGATTTTTCCTTTTTGCAGAGGTTTGTCTTTGCAAAATTTTCAAAGATAGTGGCAGTGATTACCATGCAGACTTACTTTATTTACAAAATGGAAGGTAACTCCTTAGTTTTCATATATGCAAAGAATAAATGTGGAATTGCTGATTGAATTATTGTCACACTACTACTTTAGCTACTTGAATACAAAAATCTGTGAAACCTTAAATGGCTTACTATATTAGTGAAAAGCAACAATAGCAGAAATTGTCTCTTCTTACTGTCATCCTGATGAGAATTTGTCTGTCATTTAATAGTCATTTGAATTCTGGGCATTTATTGGAGTAAAAAATGTTGCTAGGTCAAATGTTTGTAGGAAGTCATTTATGACAGAGCAGATATACCTAGGATAGTTTTCAGATTGCACAAGGGGCACACATGTAGTGTGTCTATATTTTTTATTACAATTTTACTTTAGGTAACATAAATGTATTTCAAAATGGAAACGTTTCAAATGTTATAAATATATTTCAAAGTGGTTTTAATTATAAACAAGATATATGGTCACTTAGCATTTATTTTATTAACTCTTTATAGTTAATTATATAATTTTGTTCCCTTCAAATGTGCTTTGTGGTTTCTTTTTGGTAATATGAAACTAGCAGCTTAATGAACTAGAAGTTTAAACAGCTTAGAATAAGAGAATAAAGACTAAAAATGGTAGTATAGTTCATCTTTTCAAATACTATACAATGTTTAGAAAATAGAATGATATTTTTTCCTCATTTAGAATAATATTTAGAGCCTGGCATAGTGGCTTATGTCTGGAATCCCAATGCTTTGGGAAGAAAAGGTTGGGAGGATTGCTTGAGGCCAGAAGTTTGAGACTAGCCTGGACACATAGCAAAACTCCAAATCTACACAAAATTTAAAAATTAGCCAAGTGTGGTGGCCCAAGCCTGTAGTCGCAGATATTTGGGAGGCTGAGGTGGGAGGATTACTTGAGCCCTGGAGGTTGAAGATACAGTGAACTGTTATGGTACCACTAAACTCCAGCCTGGGAAACAGAGAGATTTTGTCTCAGTAATATTAATAACAATAATAATATTTTGACTAAGTCTTAAAAATGATTATTTTAGAAATAAATTTGACAATTAATGTCAAATATAAATGTGGAAATAATGTCAGAATTCTTTCTTGTTCTTCTTTGCAAAAGCATGTAAGGAATATTTTATAGGGGAAGGATCTGAAGTGAGAGTGTGCACACATTCATGTTGAAAGGTTCATATTCCCTGGCACATCAGAATGTGATACAGAAATAATGGGAAAGGATGAGAGAGAATGCTTTTGGTATTCACAACTTAATCTTGGAGGGTGACACTGTCCCTGCAGTAGTTTCAATTAATCGTTCCCTTTTCCTATAGCCCTTTTCTACATCTCACATTATTCCTAATTGCTGTGACTTTCCAATTAGGATGGAACTAGTAGAGACTCTTGATTTAAAATGGACTGCTAGATTATAGTTTCTATTTAAGGAAGTCTAGCTAGACACCACTTTTCATTAGAGGAAAGCCTAGGAAAAGTGTCCTAATTAACAACAAAAATCTGGAAAAAACAGGAAAGCAAGTCAAGAAAAATATTTCCCTTTAGAGAATTTGTGTTGGTTAATGCCTTTGCACTGTGGAGATATGCCTTATGCAGCCTATCGTCTATTTCTGTGTGGACTCTGCAGTTGTGGGACAGTTAAAATAATATTCACAGCTGAGGGATGCAAGAGAAGAATTACTTGTCCCTTTTTATAGTCATGACATTCTGTAGAGTGAGAAGTTTGGACAAGAATAATTATGGGATTATATCTGATATTTCTTTCTTAATATACTATGTATGAGTCTCTCACTTCTTTCCTGTGCTTCACACAAGAGGCTGCAGAAGTTAGAGATTGTGCAACATACTCTATTGGTGGACAATGAAAGCCAATGATGTTATAACAATGTCCTAGACATTTTGGGAGACTGAGGTGGGCAGATCATGAAGTCAAGAGATTGACACCATCCTGGCCAACATGGTGAAACCCCATCTCTGCTAAAAAATACCAAAAAAAAAAAAAAAAAAAAAAGAAGCTGGGCATGGTGGTGCATGCTTGTAGTCCCAGCTACTTGGAAGGCTGCGGCAGGAGAATGACTTTAACCCAGGTGGCGGAGGTTGCAGTAAGCTGAGATCACACCACTGCACTCCAGCTTGGTGACAGAGTGAGACTCTGTCTGAAAAAAAAAAAAAAAAAAAAAAAAAAGAGTGTCCAAGAGAACTAATGGCTACTAGCTATGAAAAGCGATAAAGGGCTTTTGGTACAAATTTACAAAGTCTCAGAGTTTATTAGGGTTATTTCTGCAAGGAAAAATTGAATTAAAAAGAGGCCATAAGATAAAGCAAGTATGGATTAGAGAAGCTCCAATTTGTTATTATTACCCTTAATCTTTCTGAACGGTTGTCCTCAAGATTCTCCACCTGAGCATCATGAAAATTCCAAGAGGGAAAGTGATTTACCAGGTTATTTCTAAGGGTAGCTTCTGTATTCATCCTTGAGAAGCAGAAACAGTCCCAAGTTGGGTTTTAAAAAATTTTAAGATACTTATATTAGTCAATGTGGGACAAAGAATAAAAGCATTATAAATTTTGATATTCTATGTTTTCAAAACTAATATTTTCACTGGAACATTAATTTGTGTTCTCCCTATAATCTGATTTAATATATTAGCTGAAAAATAATTATTAAAAATACATTTCTATTTTTTAGTAAGGTATTAAATTCTTGACTATCATTATAATGGATTTTGTTTCCAAGAATAAATCCATTTATTCTTCGAGGTGCTATTAATATTTGTCATGTTGAATGGTTGTTTTCTTGTTTCTAAGAATTACCTATCCATATCTATTTTGTTAAATAATAAATATCAATAACCTATTAATACTAAGTGCATTGAAGGGATATACAGAGAAGAACAAAACATAGTCTCTAACTCTCAGGAGCATTGTGAGCAAGGAGTTTTAAAAAACCTTTTAATGTACACTAAATGTTGTTTATAGTTGTTTGATGTTTTTGTATACCCTCAAAACAAATTCCTGTGACTTTAAGAAAGTTTATTATTCTTTAGAAAGAAGATTTACTGGGTAGATTTTTCCTTTCAACTTTCTTAATTTCTAAAATGTAGTACAAAAGAAGCCTTACAATAGATGCTGCTTAAAAGCAAAATGAAGAAAAAGTTGTGATAATATCCATACAAGAGTTAAGTAGAAAAAAATAGTTTAGAGTGATTGAAAATATACATGCCAAACATAGAAATAAGTGGGTTCTTGAAACAGAAGAGGAGTAGGAGTGAATTCAGACTGAACTGTGGCACTTTTTAAAGATGCTTTTTTATTTCTCTATAACTCTTCGTTGGTTGATTAGTAGATATACCAACTTCTACAACATGCATCCCATTTTATTTATCATTTTAACTCTGTGTCATGCCAAATAATAATGTTTGCATATAATTAATGTTATGATTTTTAGCTGATGTAACTTTATGTCAGTAAAAAAGTACTTACATACAAAATGATGTTTTTATTTTTAAAAATATTAAATCTATTATCATCCACATATTAAAAACATGTAAGTGAAAAGATAATTAAGAAAAAGCAATGTCCTTCTGTTAAACTAATAATAAACTAACAAGAATATTTGTTTAATTAACCACAGTTGCATATCAGAGTATAGGAAACACATGTCTTTCAGTTATGTTATATATATTCAGTAACTTGACCATTTATGTGTAGCCTTTAAGCCTCAAGCTGAGAAACATATCCTTAGCTAATTTTTAAAATTAAGTTTTAAATGTTGTTAGTTCTAAGGAGTTCCTTCTTTTCTAATTGTGGTATGTGTTTTCAAAGCTATTTTTACTCAGCTTTCAAATTTCATCTTACTCTTGTATGATAAATATATTATAGTGGGATAATGATTGAATCTCTTCTTGCCGTAGTTTAGAGAACTGTTTATAATCCTTACTACTCTGACCACTCCTATTCAACATAGTATTGGAAGTCCTGGCCAGAGCAATCAGGCAAAAGAAAGAAACAAAGGGCATCCAAATAGGAAGAGAGAAAGTCAAACTATCCCTGTTGGCAGATGACATGATCCTCTATCTAGAAAACCCCATAGTGAGCCCAAAAGCTTGTTAAGCTGACACACAACTTCAGCAAAGTCTCAAGCTGCAAAATCAATGTGCAAAAGACATCAACATTTCTATACACCAATAACAGTCAAGCTCAGAGAAAGATCTTTTATGTGCCAATCGTGAATGATATTGTGTTGCCACAATTCACAATTGCCATATAAAGAATAAAGTACCTAGGGATACAGCTAATCAGGAAGGTGAAAAGATCTCTAAAACAAGAAGTATAAAACACTGCTCAAAGAAATCAGAGATGACAGAAACAAATGGAAAAACATTCCATACTCATGGATAGGAAGAATCAATATCATAAAAATGGCCACAGTGCCCAAAGCACAGTATTATTCCTTTTTTTTATTTGAGATGGAGTCTTGCTTTGTCACCCAGGCTGGAGTACAGTGGTGCAATCATGGCTCACTGCAACCTCCGCCTACCGGGTTCAAGCACTTCTCCTGCCTCAGCCTCCCAAGCAACTGGGACTACAGACGCATGCTACCCCGCCCAGCTAATTTTTTGTATTTTTGGTAGAGATGGGGTTTTACCATATTGGCCAGGCTGGTCTTGAACTCCTGACCTTATGATCCACCCACCTCCACCTCCCAAAGTGCTGGGATTACAGGCATGAGCCACCGTGCCCAGCCATGCTATTCCTATTAAACTGCCATTGACATTCTTCACAGAACTAGAAAAAAACTATTTTAAAATTCATGTGGAACCAAAAATTAGCCTGAATGGCCAAAGCAGTCCTCAGCAAAAAGAACAAAGCTGGAGGCATCACACTACCCAACTTAAAACTATACCACAGGGCTGCAGTAACCAAAAAAGTAAGGTACTGGCACAAAAGCAGACACATAGACCAATGGAACAGAATAGAGAGCCCAGAAATAGAGCTACCTGCAACTATCTGATCTTCAAAAAACCTGACAACAGCAATGGGGAAAGGATTCCCTATTCAATAAATGGTGCTAGGATAACTGGCTAGCCATATGCAGAAGACTGAAACTGGACCCCTTTCTTACAAAAAATTAAGATGAAGTAAAGGCTTAAATGTAAAATGCCAGACCATAAAAACCCTGGAAGACAACATACCCAGTACCATTCTGGACATAGAAATGGGCAAATATTTTATGATGAAGATGCCAAAAGCAATTGCAACAAAAGCAGAAATTCACAAATGGGATCTAATTAAACTAAAGAGCTTCTGCACAGAAAACTTATCAACAGAGTGATAAGAAAACTTATCAACAGAGTGAACAGACAATCTACAGAATGGAAGAAAATTTTCGCAAATTATGCATCCACCAAAGATCTCATATCCAGCATCTAAAGGAACTTCAAGAGATTTATAAGAAAAAAATTTCATTAAAAAGTGGGCAAAGGCTTTGGGAGGCTAAGGTGGGCGGATCACAAGGTCAGGAGTTCGAGACCAGCCTGACCAATATGGTGAAACCCTGTCTCTACTAAAAATACAAAAATTAGCCTGGCATGGTGGTGGGTGCCTGTAGTCCCAGCTACTCGGGAGGCTGAGGCAGGAGAATCACTTGAACCCAGGAGGTGGAAGGTTGCAGTGAGCCAAGATTGTGATTTTGCACTCCAGCCTGGTCAACAAAGTGAGACTCTGTCTCCAATCAATCAATCAATCAATCAATCAATTAGTGGGCAAAGGTTATGAACAAACACTTCTCAAAAGAAAACATACATGCTGCCAACAGTCATATGAAGGAAAAAGCTCAACATCATTGATCATTAGAGAAATGCAAATCAAAACCACGAGATACCTTCTCACACCAGTCAGAATGGCTATCATTAAAAAGTCAAAAACACACTAGTGAGGTTATGGAGATAAAGGAACAACATTTATAAATGGGATTCCTCAAAGACCTTAAAACAGAAATACCATTTGATCCAGCAGTCCCATTACTGGGTTTATACACAAAGAAATATAAATCATTCTATTATAAAGACACATACATGCCTGTGTTCATTGCAGCACGATTCACAGTAGCAAAGACATGTAATCAACCTAAATGCCTATCAATGATAGACTGGATAAAGAATATGCGATATGTATACATTACAGAAGATTATTCAGCCATAAAAAAGAATGAGATTATGTTCTTTGTAGGAAATGGTTTGAACTGAAGGTCATTATCCTTAGCAAACTAACACAGGGACAGAAAACCAAATACCACATACACTTACTTGTAAGTGGGAGCTAAATGATGAGACGACATGAACACATGGAGCGTAACAACACATACTGGGGCCTATTGAGGGTGAAGGGTATAAGGAGGGAGCAGATCAGGAAAAATAACCAATGGGTACTAGGCTTAATACCTGTGTGATAAACTAATCTGTACAACAAGCCCCCATGATCCAAATTTACCTATATAACCTGCACATGTATCCCTGAACTTAAATTTAAAAATCCTTACTACTTTAAGTCTTAAGACATCAAAAATAAACTGAAAGACCCATTAATGTCGAGGTTTTTATTTACCAAAAGGAGAATATAATTCTTTTAAAATGATTGCATTTTTTATAAGAAAGAAAACACTCTTCCCTGTGCTTAGGAATTTTAGGTGGGTAAGTAGAACTCTGAGAAGACTGGGAAGATGTTTCTACTGATAGAGGACCTATGTGTTAATTACTGCCCTGATGCTGCAGGACTCTGAATCCAGTGTTTTCTCTGCTTTGTTACTGAAAAAATGCAAGATGATTTGGGCTTTTCTTTTGAATGTTATGAAATATTCAAATTTTTTAAAAGTACAGAATTAATTTTATTATTCTGCTGCCCAAAAGAGTGGATTCTGTAATGTTCCTTCCTCTAGGTCCCACAATTTTATGTTTTCTTTTCACATCATTATCAACATTTAAAAAGTCTTCTTTTGCCAGACGTAAGAAAGTTACTAAAGTCTTTATGAAGACATGCATTCAAAGTTTTGACAGGAAGTTATATATAATATAGAAATCTAAAGATATTTATAAAACTGAAAATTGGTGGGCTGTTTTGAAGTGCTATATATCAAGGAGATAATTTGTACAAAAATCAACCTTACCCAGCAACTCTATTTCCCTTATTTAATGTAATTTTAACATATTGTATGTATAATTTAGAGAACTTTGCAAGCTGAAACCATTTAGATGCCTGCTTTTAGACTTAAGATAGATGACATTTCTGCAACTAATGATATCCCTCTGAAGATTTTCGACCAAGAACTGTACTTTGGAGTTTAAAATGAGTTTTTCTTCTATGTAAAGATCAGTGAGGGTATGACTCAGGATTAAAGACATATAGTAGTCTCAATTTTTAAAAAGAAAGTTGAGAAAACACTAGCTTTTCAGAGGACTGAGTCTAATCTTTAAAATATTGGCTCAATGAAATCTTTTTACCAATATACCCCAAACCCTGGCATGCATGTTCAAGCTTTCCAGTCTTGTCAAAATGAATTGTCCTTGTATCATCTAGAAATTTAGTTAGAGATCAGTTTGCCTTTTTATAAACAAGCATTTGTAGTAAGGTTCTAATTTGGTATTCTGGATTTCTTACCTTAATATTAAAAATAAAGGAGGAAAGCTAAATTCACATTAAAAATGACTAAATTTTGAAAAATTTTTTTCAACAGGTTGTATCAATCAGTGAAAATTCTGTATTCCTTTGGCATTTTTGTGACATATTCAATTCAGTTCTATGTTCCAGCAGAGATCATTATTCCTGGGATCACATCCAAATTTCATACTAAATGGAAACAAATCTGTGAATTTGGGATAAGATCCTTCTTGGTTAGTATTACTTGTAAGTATCATTATGTGTTTATATCATAATAATTATTTTATTGTTGAATTTCTTAAAATGAAAGCTACATAAGATGTATTTTTCAATATTTTTGAAACAATTTTATGCATCCAGCTGTGTTACTTTTCAGGTTAAAATTCTGTTTTTCTACTACATAAGAAAACCACAAATCTGATCCTATCACACTTAAAATAACTAATGAAGTTGTTTTGAAAATTACATTACTGGTGATTAAAGTAACGTGTACATGGGACCCCTTCCATTGTTGATACACATTTTATTTTGGTTCTAGTTTTCCTTAGATTTTTAATTCCTGTTTTTGTATATTTTAACAGTTTACTTCTCCATAACTACCATCAAGAAAGTGTTTAATTTTACTTGTACTGGTTTTTTATACTTTTAGTGGCTTATTTTCTTACTATTTGGAATTCATAATGGAGACTCATAGAAAGGGAGGTTGAGTTTTGTATAGTGGAAAGAGTGTAAGTTTTGGAGTCACACAGATCTGGGGATTCCAACTCAAGCCTACCACTTGCTTGCTGTTGTCTTTAGGCAAGTTACATGACATTGTTGAGCCCCTCTTTCCTCACCTATGAAATGAACATAAAACTTCCTTATGGCATTTTGGTGGTGTTAGAAATAATATTAACAAAGTATTAATAGCTGGAAGTTATGATTATTATTGTCACTATTACTGTAACTACAAATATTCAGATAATTGCACCACCAAACTAAACTGGGATTACCTAAAATGATACTAGGGACCAGATTACTAGTGTTCTGGGGAACAAGCAGCTTTGGAAATTCCTTGTTCAAGATGTTAATCACCATCTTGCATGATTTAGAATGATAGAGCTGGAAATTCAGGGCAACTCAGTAAATTGCATTGAGCAGCCTGGCATGGAGCTTGTGCCTAGATTTAAAGAATTGGTTTTATATATTTTGTTTGAAAAGAGAGATGCAAAGAAAAGTAGATAAACTGTATTTTTCAAAGTAATTACTTAAATTAGTGAATTATATCACTAATAAGAGAAATCATATTAAGGAATGAAGTCCATAAGCCCATATTCTGATAACTAACAAAAAAAAAGTCAATAGGAAAAAATATTTTAAAACATTTTGAACTTTTAAAATATATCTTTTATTGATATTTTGGTAATGACTAAATAAAAAGACTTCAGTGAAAGTTTTTATCAATAGATGTAAGACAATTCTATTCTGAAAGTACATCCTCTTTTAAAGTTGGTAATAGAAATTCAAGTAAAGGAGCTTGAGGGCAATGTTAAAAGGGGTTCAGATTTTTTTAATAACTTCACCCACTTCTGCACATTGGCTGGCATTGTTATATTGAAGTTGTGAATCTGCTGAGGCACAGACCATACCACATCTGTTACCATGGGTTTGTTCCCAGAAGTCAGGGGCTTAGTTCATAGCACAGAGAACTGCAGCCTTTTCTGGGCTACTGCTTTCATTTAGTTAAAAGTCATTGGCCAGGCATGGTGGCTCATGCCTGTAATCCCAGCACTTTGGGAGGCCGAGGAGGGCGGATCACGAGGTCAAGAGATCGAGACCATCCTGGCCAACATGGTGAAACCCTGTCTCTACTGAAAATACAAAAAAATTAGCTGGGCATGGTGGCGCACACCTGTAGTCCCAGCTACATGGGAGGCTGAGGCAGGAGAATTGCTTGAACCTCGGAGGCAGAGGTTGCAGTGAGCCGAGGTCGCACCACTGCACTCCAACCTCGTGCCTGGTGACAGAGTGAGACTCTGTTTTAAAAAAAAAAAAGTCATTAAAGCTACTCAACCATATATGCCTTGGACAAAGAGAACAAAAACTGTGTAATATTTCCCTCTGCTATATTGGGGCACATCACTGGACACAACTTCGTTTGTGTCTTTGGCACATAACCTTCCAAATTAAAGTAAAATTCGGCTGATATTCATAGCAAAACTGCTTTTTAGTCTGTTTTCTAAAGCACTTGAAAAGATTTGGGGGCATGCTCTTTGCTGATAAATGTGTGTAGACAGTTGATGAGACCTTGTCAGGTTTGTAGAGTAGGCTTTGTGGCACTAGCAATGAGAATGGAGGCTCAGCCTGATTTGCATTGAAAATTGAATGTCTTTCAATGTTACATAATCCTTTCCAGGTACTGAATCCATGTTTGTTGTATTGGTCTATAAAGAAGTGAACTTATCAGCTTGGATTATGTTGGTTGTATCCAAGTATCCATTTAGCATTTGAATCATGTTCTCAAAATATCTTCTTAGTGAACATCAAAAACTTTAGAAATGATTCAAACTCATCCTGCAGGTTCCCTTTAGGTACTTACCTGGTATATAGGCACAGGCACCTCACAAGTGAGGGAGGAAGGAGGGTAGAAACCAGCTAAAGGTCACCATGGACATAAATACCTTTTATTTTAAAAGTAAACCTATACTATGAGCCATTAAATTTTTTAATGTGTTATAGTAAACACTGAGACCAGTGTTTCAATTCTGTGTATGAATTGAATCAACAGAATTTACTAAGTACTATTTACTTCTGTTATTTTCTAACTTGATTATTCTACTGTTTGTAATTTTTAAACTGTCCTTATTTTTATAATATATAGTAGACTATGACTATATAAGTATCAAAATCCATAAATCTTTAGTAGTTTGTAGAGAAAACCCACTAAAATCCTTCATTTAAGTTAGTTGCATTTGCATATTTAAAAAGTACCTTTGTGTATCCTGATATCATGTCTTAAGAGTCAGTAGGTATGTGGATAGCACCAGTAACTATATAATTAAAATTGATGTACTACATTATTTTCTACATTTTTTGTTTTTGGTGCTGTAATATCAAGTGCTTTGTTTTGTGCTCTGATGTATCTACATTTACCCTTCAGATGCAAATAATGGACTTAAATAGGCTTTTATTTTAATATCAGAGGGAACTTTATGCACTAAGGATACATTCTTTTCCTCGCTATTTACAGTTTTGGTAAATACTGAATAAATCTGATTACTACTTAATAGATCTATTTATAATAGCTGTCTGTAAATGACATAGTATTTGTAATGAATAAAACTATCCTTACCTTAAACTCTCCTTTGAGTTTTTAGTAATAAATGTTGGTTTTGGCTAAAAGTATATATACTTGTCCTCTTTGTTTACTAATAACATTGCCAATGGCATATTTCAAGTGATTTTTACTTGCAAATATCTTTTGGTTATGTAATGTTTAAAATCTGACTTTAAACAGATTTTAGATGGGAATTATACTTCATGATTTCAAAGTATTTTCTAGATGGAAATTTTGTCTATAAATTCTAAAATGCTATAGTATTCCCCACATAGTTTTCAAACAATATTTTGCTTGATTTACTAGTGACAGCTTGGATTATAGATAAACAAGGAAAAATGGATTCCAAATTGAAAGCCTCTTCAGAATGTGGCAAGATTCTAGTCATATTTGTTTGGCCTTACCTTTATATTTTTTTATATATACCTTAAGTTCTGGGGTACATGTGCAGAGCATGCAGGTTTGTTATATAAGTATACATGTGCTATGGTGATTTGCTGCACCTATCAACCCATCATCTACATTAGGTATTTCTCGTAATGCTGTCCTCTTCCCCTAGCACCCCACCCCGACAGGCCCCGGTGTGTGATGTTCCCCTCCCTGTGTCCATGTGTTCTCATTGTTCATCTTCCACTTATGAGTGAGAATATGCTGTGTTTGGTTTTCTGTTTTTGTGTCAGTTTGCTGAGAATGATGGTTTCCACGTTCATCCGTGTCCCTGAAAAGGACGTGAACTCATCCTTTTCATGGCTGCATAGTATTCCATCGTGCATATGTGCCACATTTTCTTTATTCAGTCTATCACTGATGGGCATTTGGGTTCGTTCCAAGATTTTGCTATTGTGAACAGGGCTACAATAAACATACTTGTGCATGTGTCTTTATAATAGAATGATTTGTTATCCTTTGGGTATATACCTGGTAATGGGATTGCTGGGTCAAATGATATTTCTATTTCTAGATCCTTGAGGAATTGCCACACTATCTTCCACAATGGTTGAATTAATTTACCTTCTCACCAACAGTGTAAAAGTGTTCTTATTTCTCCACATCCTCTCCAGCATCTGTTGTCTTTTGACTTCTTAATAATTTCCATTCTAACTGGCATGAGATGGTATCTGTCTCATGTGGTTTTGATTTGCATTTCTCCAATTACCGATGATGATGAGCTTTTTTTTTTTAATTCATATATTTGTTGGATGCATAAATGTCTCTTTTTGAGAAGTGTCTGTTCATATCCTTCGTTCATTTTTTGAAGGGGTTGTTTTTTTCTTGTACATTTGTTTAAGTTCTTTGTATATTCTGGATATTAGTTAGCCCTTTGTTGGTGGATAGATTGCAAAAATTTTTTTCTATTCTGTAGTTTGTCTGTTCACTCTGATGATAGTTTCTTTTGCTGTGCAGAAGCTCTTTGGTTTAATTAGATCCCATTTGTCTATTTTGACTTTTGTTGCCATTGCTGTTGGTGTTTTAGTCATGAAGTCTTTGCCCATGTGTCTGGCCTTACTTTTATGCTACTAACTATAACTAGGTGAAGCATGTCTCCACAAATGATTATGTTCAATTAATTTTGAGAGGTTTTAATTATGTTTCAGAGTTATGTAGTTCCCTAGAGAGCAAAGTTAAAAGCCTATAGCAAGCACCCATTAGATGAAGAATCTACTTTATAAAGTATTTCTACTTTAGAGTTCTTTAGAGCTAGTTATTTCTACTTCTTTAGAGTCAGTTATTTCATTTATAAAGGGTTATGCCACTTTAGCCCTATTGGTGTAAAGTTCAGTTTATAATTTCAAAGCAGTTTTTAAAGCTTTAGCTTTCATAATAATTTGAATACAGAATGATAAATAATAACTTCTGGTTATATGAGGAACATGGTGGGAATTTAGTTCCAAATTGAACCCACAACCTCCTGGAAAATAGCGAGAGCCACAGAAAGAATAGAAAAAAGAAAACATCATAAAATAAAAATTAAGAAGTAGATAAACCAGTATATTGAAAAGTGAAAGCTAAGTTACTAACAAGACTATATATACAGATATACATATACACACACATATATATTCAACACATGCTATAATTGGGTCCCCAAAGAGTAACTGTGGTGATATAACCGCCATTGGTAGCAGTAGTGATATAGTTGTCACAGCCTACATATGAGCAAACACAGCTGTTATTTCTGGTGGCAACTGCAAACCCTCAACAAATCATTTAACAAAACATTTAAGGACAAATAAAGAAGGAATGTGTCTTAGTTTTTGCAAACCTTCTGTTGATGCATTTTTATAAGATCAAGAAAGCGCCCGACCAGTACTTGCAGAAAACTTGTGAACAGTTTGGAAATCTGCTCACAATAGCGGAGTACTATTTTTTTTTCATTTTGAAGTAATTTAGACAGAAAGGTTGTAAACATAAGTAGTTACCATAAACCTCTACTCAGCTTCCTCTGATGTTCATAGCTTCTATAAACACAGTACAGTTATTAAGACTAAGAAATTAGCATGGATGCAATGCTATTAACTACTTAATAGACCTTATTATAATCTTGCCAGTTTTCCCACTAAAATCCTTTTAAGAACTGTCCGTGACGTTCTTAGTCTTTCTTGACCTTGACATTTTCAAAATGTCAGTAATTTTGTAGAATTTCTTACAATTTGAGTTTTTCTGATGCTTTCTCTTGATTAGGTTGAAGTATTTTACTTGATTAGGTTGAAGGATTTTTAACAAGAATCCCACTGAAGTGATGCTGTGCACTTCTCAGTGTATCACATCATAATATCAGTGTCTTATTGGTGATGTTAATTTAAATATGTTAAGGTGGTCTCGACATATTTCTCCACTGTAAAGGCATGAGTTTTCCCTTTATAATTAATAAGTATTTTGAAGGAAGATATTTTGAAACTCTGTAACTATCCAGATCTCATCCAGTTTTTGCCAACTAATTTCAGCATTCTTTGATGCTTTTTCCTATCCAGTGATTATTGTGGTATTTACTTAATGTTTTTCTGTTTCCATTGTTCCTTCTATTTTTAGATTAATTATAATTCTACTTTAAGGAATAGCTATCTCTTCCCTCCCATTTATTTTTATTCCACCACTCCACGTTTTGTGCATTATTGAGCTGTATTGGCAGGCAAAGTAATGCAAATGCTTTAGAAATAAACTATCAAAACTTCTTTGTCCAGAATTTTAAAGCAAAAAAGTAAAAGTTGTTTTCATAAGAAACTGTTGACAAGTGAAAGTCTAGGAAATGTCACTCATATTTTGATCTTTCTGTCTCTTTCTTGCTTAGAACAAAATATGGCAGATTTTTTCCACAGGTAATAGTTTAGTAGTCCAACTTTCATTAATTATTTTTAGTAGTTACTTTAAGTATTGAAAATACTGACTTCCGGTATTCATGTAAGTAACAAGCATTTAAATAAGAAAAATATGTATTTTCATTTTCTAGGTGCCGGAGCAATTCTTATTCCTCGTTTAGACATTGTGATTTCCTTCGTTGGAGCTGTGAGCAGCAGCACATTGGCCCTGATCCTACCACCTTTGGTTGAAATTCTTACATTTTCTAAGGAACATTATAACATATGGATGATCCTGAAAAATATTTCTATAGCATTCACTGGAGTTGTTGGCTTCTTATTAGGCACATATGTAACTGTTGAAGAAATTATTTATCCCACTCCCACAGTTGTAGCTAGCACTGCACAAAGTCCTTTTCTAAATTTGAATTCAACTTGCTTAACATCTGGTTTGAAATAGTAAAAGTGGAATCATGAGTCCTCTATTTTTGTCTCATTTCTGAAAATTATCAAAATAACTAGTAAAATGCATTGCCATATACTTAAAAATGGTAAGAAACTGCATTTTCTTTTGGCACAGTGTTAATATTTTGGAAGTAATTGTAACTCTTTACCAGTAGTGGTAATCCTATGACAAATTTTTGGTTTTAAGTGTTAGCAACAGTTTCAAAAAATTAAGTTCTGAAAATTGAAAAAAAATTAAAGAATAAAAATACTTCTATTAGTCTTTTATCTCAGTAAGAAATAACCAAGATATCTCTCTTTTATGCTATTCTTTTGCCACTAACTTGAGAAGGGACTAGGATTTCAACAATAAGATAATAAAATAAGAACATATATAACAACACGGTCTCTCCACATCATCCCCGTGAATGCCAAAGTAAACTTTATGTATAATGTAAAAAAAAGAATCTCAGTTACGGTTTTATTAGTGAGCCAGATAATGATTAGCTCCTGGAAATATAGAAAACTCTCATTAACATATAATGTAAGCATCAGAAAATTGCAAACAATAAATTAATATTATACTCTATCAATGGTACTTGATCTTCATAATCAAGAGGCACTGTTCAAGAACCTAACTTAGTGTTTCAATGAAATTTGAAAAGGGACTTTCAAAGTTATCCAGTGGAACTCCTTTATTTTTCATCAGACGAAATGGAGGCCCAAAAAACTTAAGTAACGTGGTCAAGACCACTCAGCCTTGAGATCAAGAGAACCTAATCTCTGACTCCCAGGCTAGGATGTTTTATTTTTCACATCATGTCCAAGAAAAAGAATAAATTTTGTTCAGCTTAATTTTAGTCTTGAATCTATTTAATTATATTTTAATACTTTGAAAGTGAATGTGCATTTTTTAACAGTATGTGTGACCTGAGCAGAAAATCACAGAACTCTTAAGAAGTCTCACCCTGGCCATATAAACCTCAGCAAGAGAAAGAAGCTATGTTATTTTAAAACACAATAGAGACCACTTGCTGTTGAAAATGCTGGCTAGTAAAATATGTGCCCAGCTATGTTAGTTGTGGCCTGAGCTTTTTTAAAATTATTTCATTCCTTTCCTGGGTTTTGTAGGCACCATCATCCTAAATGGCAGAAAATAGATACCCCAGAAAATAGAGGATTTGTGGACTCTTTCCAGCCTGTGGCTTTTTTTTTTTTTTTTTTTTTATCACAGCCTTTTATTTATTATGAGCAAAAAAAAAAAAAAAAAAAAAAAAAAAAAATAAGCTGGGTGTGGTGGTCCATGCTTATAATCCCAGCTACTCTGGAGGATAAGTTGGGAGGATCACTTGAGAGGCTAGGATCTTGAGACCAGCCTGGGCAACATAATGAGACCCTATCTATATAAAACATAAACATTTTTAAAAAGTTAGCCTGACATGATGGTGTGTACCTGTAGTGGCGGCTACTCAGGAGGCTGAAGCAAGAGGATCCCTTGAGCCCAAGAGTTTGAGATTGTGGTAAGCTATGATCTTGCCACTGCACTCCAGTCTGAGTAACTGAGGGACATCTCAACTCTTAAAACTAAAACAAACACAAAAAAATACAATAATAATAAATGATAAAGGGATTCATGGTTAGAAAAAAATCAAGATAATAAACTGCCTACTAAATATTGAGACACTGTAGGCTTCTTTCAGAGAAATAAATTTCATTATTCCATATTTTTCCAGCACAATTACTAACCAAGATAAAGAATCTCTCAGTTGTTGGGGAAGATGGAAACTATTGAGAATAGAATGACTTCCCAACTTTAAAAAAGTTCATACTTTAAAACATGAACTATTTACCCAGGCCGGTGATACTCTAGTTTGTTAGCATACTATACTTGAAGATACCATCAAGATCACTATAGTTTATATATACACTCTTTTTATATGTAAATGTTCACTTCATTCAGATATTTCTTGCTTATATCATTAACTGGTCATCAAATGCAATCCTAAAGATATATCAGAAGCTTTACTTTGGTACAAAGTCCTAAGAATCAAAACTTTTTTAACCATTCACATTAGGTATCACCAGTAATTGTTTGAGATACTTTTATATCAAATCTGTTACATTGAGCCTTTAGTCATACTAAGAGAATGCAGAAGTTACAGGAAAATGAATCTTCACTGAAACGAATATTGCTTAATCTTGAATTAGATGTTTAAAAAACTTTATAGCTTGATATAAAATGAGTTGAAAATTATTAATAGAAAGGAGCATTCGGTTTTTTTCACCTGTTTTCAGATAACATTTCTAGTCTATATGTGTTATTTTATTTTTACATTTTGGCTCAGTTATTTTCTTTATGGAATTCATCAAATGCAATGAAATTTGAATAGTTGATCATAGCAATAAATAATTTTTAAATTCAGCACAAATATATCTTAAGTATGTTGTCAACCAGGCTTCCTTCCCATAAGAATTGCTAAAGGAAGCCTGGTTGATAATATCATTCACTAAATGATGAATACTTTAAATACAAGAAAAAGTTGAAGAGGGGCTAAAAAGGAAGAAAGTTTTAATTCTCAACAAGAAACACTATTTAGATAGAAAGCGTAAATGTATTCTTATTAAGAGTATTTAATGATACTTTCTTTGTGTGAAAATAACCGGTGGGTAATTTTTTTCTCTGAAAATTTAGTTTTAATGAGTTGTAAAATTTCCTAAAGATTTTGGAGATGATATTTTGATTATACCAGCTCTTGCTTTTATTTTGGGAGCCTGGAGAAATGAGTGATTGCACCTGTCAAATTTTGTATCTTATCACCTTTGGAGCATCACATTGTGACTAAAATGACTTGAGCATTTTGTCGGCCATGACAGTGAAGAACTCTTTGCTGAAAGTTAATCAGTTGCCTGAGAGCCTTTTCTGCTACTGAGGGGGAAGAAAGGAAAGTTTTATTTACTTCTAATGAGCTCTGTTCCGACTCAGTTATCACTGTTCCTTTATACCCAAGAGTTTAATCAGTATCAGGGTCAACTTGTCAAAACGCTAGTTCTCAGACATTTTTTTCGGAGCATCTTCTTTTCTCCACATAGCCAGATTTTTTTACAATTAAGAAAATAAGAGCTACCGCGTATTTTTGGTTAAAAACCAGTTTAGATGGTGTTACCAAATGAAAACCAGTCTGTATTAGCAGATGCCACATTATATTTAGTCGTATTCTTAAAATGATTTCTGCCTCTTGCCTAGACAATACACTTACATATTTACAAACATTGTATGTCAATGTACGTGTTTTGAATTTCCTAACAGTGTCTAATCTTAGCAGTTTCATAGTAGTTACATACAATCTCTTTAACTGCAAAGTACTATAAAACATTTCTTGAAATATTAAAGTATTATATTAGTGCCATTTCTAGCTGTGGCAAAGCACAAGTCTTACTATAGCTTATGTCTTCTCACAGATTTAAGTACAGCATCTGAGTAGTAGATTTGTTTACTGACAGTATACACAGATTAGGTATTGACCTCACTTCTTTCTTCATTTGAAAGAGAGTAGATTTGAAATAGAGCTAATGTATATAATAAATAAATGTATTTAAATGATTGAGCCACCAGATGGTGGCTCAATACCATCTGTTAAGGAATAAAATAATTTGGTAAAAATATAGAACATTGATAATATAAAGTAGTGACTTTTTAAAAAATGAATCTGATCTTTTTGACTCACTTAGCTTTTTTTAATAAGAAAATTTGAGAAACTTGGATCTGAAAAGTATAGTAATATGTTTCCTAACATTAAATTCCTGGCTATAATAGTTAATTCTTTGCCAGCATTATGGTTTGTCATGTTTATGCTACTGGCACTTACTAGGGTAAACTTTGATTAATTTTGACCTATGAGATAAGGAAACATGCTTAAGAAATGACTAGAAATGCTATTTATTGCCCTATGATAAGTGAAATGGCAGATCATTCTGATTCTTAGAATTTCATATTAAAATTGGCTAGTTCCTGCATGCATGAGTCCACACACACACACGTCAGTAATCTATGTGAATTGGATCCTAATACTAATTTACTATTTAAATCGGGTCCAGAAGTTGTTTTGAAAAGAACATGCTAAAAATACTTCATTAGAGTTTTCTTTATAACAAATAGGAAAATACATGTTTACATTCTGGATAAATTAAGCTGTGGGTTGATTTTTGTTTTTCAAAATGATTTTGCTTGAAGATGAAATATCATTGCATTCAAGTCAATTTTAACATTTTTCTTTATAACAGAATATGAAAAAAATCTGTTTTAAAGTAACTTTTCTGAATTTTCAATAACATATTTTGCTAGCACTTGCCTTTTAGATAAATTTTTCTTTTATAAGGTTAAATGACATTGATAAGAGTCATAAGCTAAAAATGGCACTAGTGTAATGTTCCCATGGTAACATTTTAATCAGTCTTTATGGTTAATTCCCTGTTATGCTGGAAGTTGATATTGTGTACTAATAAGATTTAAGAGCAGAAGTTGATTAAAAATAAAAGGAAAACTCAAAACTGTGACCTGAACTTACTGCAGCATGAATGCAGGATAAACCATCTGCAGATGCTGCATTCATGACTTAATTTACTGCTTTCATAAGCTCAAGAATATGTATCAATCATTTTGTTTGCATTACAAAAGAAATTGCATTACAAAAGAAATTGCATTACAATTTGTTGCATTACAAAATTGGAATAATGCTTTTGCAAAGCCTTATGCCAATCCTGTAATAAAAGATCATAAAGATATTTATACCTTTGCATCAGTAATCCTGCTCTTATGAACTTAGCATAAAGACATATCATAGTTTGGCCAGGCATGGTGGCTCACCCCTGTAGTCCCAGCACTTTGGGAGGCCAAGGCAGATGGATCACGAGGTCAAGAGATGGAGACCATCCTAGCCAACATGGTGAAACCTCGTCTCTACTAAAAATACAAAAATTGGCTGGGCGTGGTGGCAGGCACCTGTAGTCCCAGCTACTTGGGAGGCTGAGGCAGGAGAATAATTTGAACCCAGGAGGTGGAGATTGCAGTGAGCCAAGATTTGTGCCCCTGCACTCCAGCCTGGTGACAGAGCAAGACTCTGTCTCAAAAAAAAAAAAAAAAAAAAAAAATCAGAAGAGAGATGCTATGACTGAAGGTGTATTACAACATTATGTTTTAATGTGAGAAATTGGAAACAAGCTACATGTTCAACAAGAGGGTGATCATAATGAAGATTATGTAAATTGCACCAAA